TTACTCAAGATCAGATGGCCAGGCAGAAAAGATCAGCAACAGAGATCTCTGGTAATGAGCGAACCAACCCAGCAGGAACCGATTGTGAAACAAATATGCAGGAAGAAATGAAGGTGGATTGGCCGGCCATACTCTGAGGAAACCATCAAGTGACATCACTAGATAAGCCACCACTCGAGTGGAACCCGAATGGAGAGCGGCGAGTTGGTCTTCATTGCGAGGTTGACTTGGAGGAGGTCATGTGAAGAGGAGATGAAAGCATCTGGGCAGGTGAAAAGATTGGCGGAGAGCCGAACACAATGGAGACGTTTGGCTGAAGCCCTATGCTCCTCCAGGAATTAAAGGAAATAATAATAAGGAAAACCACACTGGAAACCTGGTTGGTTCGTTCTAGTTCGTTCAGAACTCCTCATCAGTACGCAATTATTATAAAACATTACAGGATCGAACAAGGTTAACTCGGTAACCGTTCCAGCTACTGGGAAGGAATATCTGTAACTCATAAATGCTAACTTCTGCCAATCCACGATATTACATAATGTGACAAACTAGCCATTATCATCTGTGTATTCTCTCACACCCGACATGATGGACATTCATGGGTCACACAACTTGAGACAAATTCATCCTTCAGTCAATCACTAGTGAACATAAGATCAGCAGTTCATGAGTATGTGGTGTTGAAGAGTCCTAGTATAAGAACAATACAACTGTCCAATGCATTAACTTGCATCAGTTCGTTATCATTGGATCCTTGTAAATTCACAATTTAAGAACAATGGAAATAAATAAATAATGGAGAATGAATAAATATCCGTATACAATTTCATCAAAAAATGTTTAAAATCAAATCGAAATCCCTATATATATCAGATAAAATTCTAAGACCTTAAGATGGTTGTAGGCAATCGGCAGGAAGCGTTGGACCTAGGTTGCGTGCTAGTTGGCCCTCACCAGTCAGCAAAGCGTATCTGCAACCTTGAAGGAACTCATATTCCTTCTGTGAGACTGCAGATACGCCACCTCGCTGACTGGTGAGTGCCAGCTAGCACGAAATCTAGGCGTAGCAAAGTCGATTGCCTCCAACCATCTAATATCATCGAATCAGTCTACACCGTGATGGCGAGCTATTTAGAATGATGGCCACATTACAAACCTGACTGATAGAATTCAGTCTGCACCAAACACCAAGGACTAGACACATCACACCAGTTCTTTGTTTATCTTTTTCCTTCACGTTCCCAGTGGAACCATACGGCTTCAAGCTAGAGACTTTAAGTTTCTGTAAAACTATTTAACATACTAGTTACTAGTGTCCAATCAAAGTATCCCAGTGAATGAAAACCCGTGAAACTTGGTTATATTTAATTCAGAGATATTACCACTAAAACTAAGTTGAAAATTTTTCAAGCCGTGACCAGTAGGGTACAGCAGGTCGGAGATGAGGCAGTAACTCATCGAAGAAGACATTGAGAAGTGGTCGCGCTATGTCGTGAATTGGCAGAAGTTAGAATTCATGGGTCCATTGGATCGGGTCCCAGTGGCTCAATGGTATACAAGCTCGCCTTGTAACCAGAAGGTCCTGGGTTCGAACCCCGGTGGGTGCGTACTGCTGAGGAGTCCCAAACTAGGACGAAACAGCTGTCCAGTACTCCCAGGTTTTCCAGTGGTTCTCTAACTGATGTCAGCTCATGATTAAATCCTCCATACAATCAAACCATATCCCTACAAAACCAACACTTGAAAATTTTTCAAAATAATCATAATTACTCTGATGTTTACATAATCGGAGTATATACGTACGTAAGTACATACATACATACATAAATGTCATGTGACTCATTTTCATCTCTTGATAGCTTAGCTTTGAGTAAGAATCTACTCACATAATAGAAAACTTTGCTCTCAACTGGAGAGAGTTGTTTTGTTATTGTTTGCTTATTTTTCATTAATTTTCTTTTCCTTACTCCCTCACTCATACAACATTTTCGTTTGTTTGTTTGTTTATTTATTTTATTCACTTATTAAAACAGCTTTGTGATCAATTTCAATTCAAAAATTGCGGCTTGCTTCTTTTCGTTTGAAACAATAAACACATTGTATAATTCAACCAATCGAAATTAAGAATGCCCTGGGCAGATAGCTGACATTTGATTGGTTGAAAGTAAGGTCGATTATAAATGACCTTTGTGAATAGCAAAATGAGAGAGGGAGAGAGAGAGGCGAGTGAAGCATACTGACAGTGTACGGGAAAAAATAACAATAATAATAATGATAATGACTCGAATCAAATTCTCAGGAGGATTAATAGGTAGAACACGTGTTGAGAGATTAAAAATTCATACCCTAGGAGGCAATAAAATGAGTATACATCATTTAATGAACCAGTTCGATGTATATTATTTTTTTATCACTGATATAATAATCCCTTAACTTCCGAGTGAAACACAACACTTCATCTCTATTTCATCCTATTGTTTGCTGACTTCACGATTGCCTATGGACTTTTATTTCTTCCTCACACAGTCATCATCTACTTCAATGTCAACCACGGACACAAACCAAACTTGTCGACCTCACGTCACGGGGTTCACCACCGGCTAGGCAAATAATGTCATTTGAATGTCTCCCCATTGCGTCCCGTAACAATCTCTATTTTATTTAGCACATATATCACCAATGATATTTCTAATTGTGGTGGAATGGATTATGCGTCAAACAGTAGGAAACGAGAAGACTGGGATATCCTGGACCGACGTGAAGAACCTAGAAGACCTGAATTTCGCGCGTGGATGATTTATGTTTGATGTCACACAAAATCGAAGACTTACAAGCGAAAACTGACCGACAAACTGGTCGGTGTGTTGGTGGCACAGTGGTTAGGACTCTCGCCGACCATGCACATGGTCCGGGGTTCGAGCCCGCACCGACGCACACCTGATATCTATGGTCGGCCTGCAAAATTTGGGCTACCGATATCCATGCTGAAAATTCCATACTTGTACCAAAAATACAGTGTGGAATCAAGCTGTAAATCAAAAATCAAAAAAATAAGCAGCCGGCGAAGACAGGACTCCAGGTGAAAATAGGCAAGACGGAGGTTATGAAAATAACCAACCAACCAACAACAACATTCAGCGTCAATCCCCGTCAACGGGAGAGATTTGAAAGAGGTTACTTCATTCACTTATCTAGCATTGAGCATTGGCTCAACTGCAGGATGTCAGAACGGACGAGGATGTCAAATCGAGCGAGAATCGGGAAGGCAGGCGAGAAACACACACATTCATCAACCTGAAACCAATCTGGAAATCTTCGTCACTCAACACAGCATCAACAACAAAATTCAGTCGGATTTTCAATACAAACAACGTCAAGCCAGTCAGCTCTTATATACGGATCAGAAACATAAAGAATATTTCCAACAGCCTGTTGTAGACCTACCTTTATCAACCAACAAATGTCTTCACTGGCTCTCTACTGAAGATCAGATGGCCGGGCCGGAAAAAATCACCAACAAGAAACTATGGGAACAAACAAACAAAACAAGAAGGAATCGCAGGAGAAAGTGGAGATGGATTGGACACTCGCTGAAGAGGCCGTCGCTGGGTGACATCGCGCGCGCGTCAGGCCATCATTCGAGTGGAACCAGGCCGAAAGGGAAGCGGCGAGTGAGACGTCAGTGCAAGGGTGACATGGAGGAGACCGTGTGAAGAGGAGTTGAAAGAGTATGGACTAACGTGGATGGAGGTGAAAAGTATGGCAGAAGACAGAAGCAAGCATAGACGTGCAGTTGAAGCCCTACGTTCCACTAGAAACGCAAGGGAACAATAATAATGGGTCTGAAGCCTATTCAAAATGTTTTCACTATCGAACGAATCAAGTCTTCGAAAACCTCGATTAATAAAAAAGGAGGGTTGGGCGTGAAAAAAGTGACCCTAACCCCCAAAAACCAATCAAACCGCTACAGAAACTTCAACGCAAAATAAAAATATTAAAAACACAAAATGGATGAAGATGGAATGACGTAGGCTAGTGAAGGCCATCGGTTCGACATACGGCAACCTGCTTAAACCCTGGGCTACCAAAATTTTCCGTCACTTCTATAGCTTGCATCTGATTACTTGGATTTATTTTGTTTTAATTATTCACTTATGTGTCCAAATCGTATTACTTACTCTCGCGATTATTTAAAATGTTTTCAACCTGCGGATTCATGTGTTTATAATAACCTTAAGAAAAAGCATCATGGTGGGTAGTGGCAACGATCCTTAGAGTGTACTCCAATGCATCATCTCAGCTAACTGTTCCTGTGATTATGAGCACAAAGTGTAGGTCATTACTGAACAAGATTAATTACTTGGATGCTCTATTATGTCCAAATATTTACCGTAATATAGGTGTAATAAAACAACGCTCCACGATTCATATGATGACAATTTAATCTCCTTGAGTGGTTTCAATATGTACAGACAAGAATGAAGCAGTTCAAGGAAGAAGCTAGACGGTGGTGTTGCTACTTTTATCAATTCTCAGTGGTCTGTTGCCGACAATGTCTGCTTTAAATTCTAAAAGATAATATTGCCTACATATAACTTTCAAATGTCGACCTAAACACCTGTCTAAGTACAGTGCGTCGGTGGCACAGTGGTTAGGACTCTCACCGACCATGCACATGGTCCGAGGTTCGATCCTCTGCCGACGCACACCTGATATCTATGGCGGCCTGCGAATTTTGGGCTACCGATATCCATGCTGAAAATTCCATACTTGTACCAAAAATACAGTGTGGAATCAAGCTGTAACCAAAAATAATAAAAAAAATAATAAAAATAATAAAATAAAATAAAAATTCATTTTTATCACGAGCATTTACGTCACACCTTGTTGTAGCGCTTTAGAATCAGCATTATTATTAATACGGGTGACACTACTATGTATATATATAATCTCAGCAAGATAAATAAACATATTGAAACAACAGTTTTGATAAAACTTACTTGAGCAAGATAATAGAGGTATTGAAGGACAGGAGCTTTACGTAACAATAGACCATGATTAATACTTTCAGCCAATAGAAAGCATGTAACCAAGTGATTAATATTTCCAGCCTCACCAGAATGTGGTCTAAATGAGAAGGTGTTCAATCCACGATGACTGAAGAAATTTTGAGGAGGCAAAAAAAAAAGAATTAGGGTGTAATAATTATTGATTGTCACAAAAAAGTAGCACCTGTGCTTCAGATAATGGTGTAACAACAGAAGACAAGGGCCAGGCAACAGATCGTTTATTTAGGAAATCAACACATATTTATATGGTTACAAGATTTCATCATGAGCTGACGTTAGTTAGGGAACCATGGGAAAAACTTGGAAGTACTGAACAGTTGTTTCATCCAAGTTTGGGACTCTTCATCAGTACGCACCCACCACTATTGTTTGAACCCAGGACCTTCTGGTTACAAGGCAAGCTAGCTCGTAGACCATTTAGCCACTAGGACCAGATTAGATGGCCAACCCATGAATTCTAACTTCTGCCAATTCACGATATAGCGCAACCGCTAGCCAATGTCTTCGACGAGTATTTGTCCTCACACCCGACCTGCTGCACCCTCCTACTGGTCACGATTTCTCACTAGAACCCCAGGTAACTACGTACTTGAATCAGGAAAGCCGCTAGTGAGCATCTCAATCACATTCAAGTGTTGGTTTGTAGGGATTTGATTGGTTGCGGATTTCATCATGAGCTGACATTAGTTACAGAACCATTGGAGAAGCTAGGAGTACTGAACAGCAGAAGTGAGAATTCATGGCCCATTGGATCGGGTTCCGGTGGCTAAATGATCTACAAGCTAGGTCGCCTTGTAACCAGAAGGTCCTGAGTTCGAATCCCTGTAATGGATGTGTAAGATAAGATAAGATAATTTGGCTAGCAGTCAGCTCTCACCACAATGGTACTCAGCCACCGGCACATTATGGACGAATAAAAGAGGTATATAAATATAGTTTAATTCCCTGTGAGCCACTAGAAAGCTCAGAAAGAGAGGGAAGGAGGTTGAGGATGAGGCTAGCAACCCTGCCCGCCGCCCGCCCCGTAAAAATAACCGACGGCTAGTCAAACTTCAAAGCTCGATGAGCCTTAAATCCAGCGTCAAACACGGAACACCAGAAAATGATGCTTTACGTCAACAAGTCAAAAACGAAATGCACAGCTGACAAACGTTTACAGTTTCGTTTCAATAAAACAGAATAAGAAACCGTATTGGCTTTTTGCCAGAAGAATCCATAGCATTTGTACGGAGAATAGATTGTGTAAGGAATTGGATATTCAATCTCCATGACCGATAAACATTTAAACAGAAAGATTTATGTTCTGTGAAACTTCGATGTGACGAAGACATTACAATAATTAGTGATGTTGTCCAAAGGAGCCGGTCGTCTACAACAATTCGAAGGACATCCTTTGCCGCATCTCATCTTCTACACACATGCTCTTGTTCACTAGAACGTCAAACAAAAAATCCCTACTTTAAAGTATAAGTATATAGGGACGATTTCATCATGAGCTGACATCAGTTACAGAAACACTGGAGAGAACCTGGGAGGACATTCACTCAACGAAGACGTGGCTAGGTGGTTTGCGCTATGTCGATAATTAGCAAAAGTTAGAATTCATAGGCCACTGGATCGGGTAGCAGTGGCTTAATGGTCTATGAGCTCACTGGCCTTGTAACCAGAAGACCTTGTGTCCAAACCCTACCATGTGGGTGCGTACTGATGAAGAGCCTCAAAATGAGACGAAACAACTGTCTGTCTAGTATCCCCTGATTTCCAATGGTTTTCTAACTAAATACTCATATGTGTATGACTGTAGGATTCAGCTTAACAATCGGTATGTGTAATACACTTATGTCGACCGACTAAACGTAAGTATATATATATATGTATGTGACACATAGCATTTTAATTAAGTATCAGAAGACTAATTAATCCACTCACGCAACCAAAAAAAAGTCAGTAGTGAAATGTGATTAACACATGACTACTTTTGCTTACGTCAGTCATTGCATAGTTATAACGTGCATCGGTGGCACAGTGGTTAGGACATTCGCCGACCGTGCACATAGTCCGGGGTTCGATCCCAAGCCGACACACACACCTGATATCAATGGTCGGTCTTCTAAATTTGGGCTACCGATATCACATTACTAAAAATTCCATACTTGTACAATAATACTGTGTGGAATGAAGATATAATAAGATTTAGGCCAAGTCATTTCTCATATCCAAGTCTAAATGTTCTGCGATTCATCCTTATCAATGAAGTGATTGGTTCGTACTAATGAAAGAAAAAAAGATTTCTCAAATTATGACACAACCAAACTGTTTATAGCCTCAACCTCCAGGCTATCCAAAAAGGATTTCAGTCCATGGTCCAACTTAAATCACTACCTTTGTAAGCTGAAGAACTCTTGACGTTGACAGGTGCCTTCCATTGGCTGGCTTAGTGTGTCAACCTAAAACCTTGCATAGAAGTACAGCAACTCGAGTTGTCCAACTCTACATGTAGAAGACAAAGTTACAGAGAAGAGAGAAAAAATTATTATTCTCCGTTGAGAAAGGTAGTGACTAGGCATGCGTCAAACGTGTCCCAGCCATCTCATAATTGATTTAGCATCACTACTTCATCAACTGACCCACCTTCCTTAGCAAACATGCTGAACTTTTCAAATTATAAAACCAGGAATGCTCAAATATTAACAGTCAGTCTGAACGAAGAATATTCTTTTCACCATAATTTCTCCTCTTCAGGTTCTTACAATTATAAAATATAAAATTTGTTGTCGTTACAATACTGGCCATTTATGCGGAGAGTACATTTCTAAAGTAGACAAACAGATTAGGTAAGGGGTGTCAAAATAAATAATCATTATTCGTTATAATTTAGGGCCTTCATGCAAACATTCCCTCAATACTATCGAATTTTCATTTATATATCCGGACTTATTATTAGTTATATTATCTCTTTTCTCAATATATGCCTCCACCTGTTTCATTTCACATATTCGTTATTTCATTATGAACCACCTCTCATCGCAGTCTTACTATCTCCTGTTTAACACAGACCACTTTGTACTAGCCACTCACCTGACACCTTTTATAACATTGAACTGACTTGTCAATTTGCCTACCCCACACTCTACAAATCTATTATGACTAATCACCACCATTGTCTCCCGTTTTACAATATCTTGTAATCGATTTCAGCCTAACACGATGTTTGTCACACAAATACGACTATTTATATTTTGACACCCCATAACTACTAATCTGTTATTCTACGTTAAAAAATGTATCAACAGCATAACTAACTGGCCATTAACGTAACGACAACAAATATAATTTATAGTTGTAAGAACCTGAAGAGGAGAAATTATGGGGAAAAGAATATTCTTCGTTCGTTCAGATTGACATTTAATTCCTGTAATATGGGAATATTTCACACTATTAAATCTTATACTCAAAAAATGGTTTCTAGGTAAACAAAATTCTCACTCACCTTCTAAATTGATTCAACTGAGCTATATTAGCATACATGTAGAAAATATAATAAGAATAAGGTGGATTCTCATTTAAATCATACTCATCCGGTGTTGGCGTAGAGATATTGAAGACAATCTTATCCGACTTGGATTCATCGTCTACAGAATCGAAACCAGTGACATACTGGAGAAATGCATGCAACTCAGGATGTGATTTAGGATTGGCAGTGACTTCAAATAATGGTTGGAAAACATTTGTAATAATGTCCTGGAAAGGGGGAAAAATGATGATTATCTATACTTAGTGTAGTGACGTCAGGAAACCAAAATCAGCTACAGAGAGATCAGTAGAAACCAGGGAATACTGGACAGAGTTGTTTCACCTTAGACTGGGACTCTTCTTCAACAAAATACACCAACAACCTTACCAAGTATTGAACCAAAGATATGGAGGGTATGATTAGTCAATTACTTGAACCTGAATCCAGTAAACCGTGAATTCTAACTTTATAATAAAGTGTGTTAGCTGGCAAGAATTTGATTGGTCACAAGTTTGATCCCAACCTGACATCAGTAGCAGAATCATGTGAGAAGACTAGGGAATGTTGGATAGCTGTTTCGTCCTACTTTCAGACTCCGGAAAAATATGCACCCACCGCAGCTCGAAAATAGGACTTCTTGGTTATACAACCAGCTCTCATTATCCTCGACCAATACCTTCAAAGCAGCATCCACACCTCACTGTGAAATGTCAGATCGTGATAGTCACAGATATTCAGTTGAGCTCATCAAGGAGCTTGATCTAATGACCTGAAGGTCCCTGCGTTAATCCCTAGTAAGGATATGAGTGTATACTACTGGGGAGTCCAAAACTTGGACGAAACCGCTGTCCAGTAATCCCTGGTGACTTTCAATGATCTCTCTAAATGATTCTGTTGGTTTGTGACAGAAATCCTACAACTGAAATTCATTCAAACCCCTACAAACACCCATAATCTTAATATCACATAGTTATTGTTTAAACCCAGATTTTTCAGGGTACTATTCATATCGCAAGTAACAAAATTGTTTTTATTAAATCAGAATGGTAAAGTAAACAAAAGGTTTTTTTTGAAGGGGAGCCAAATACAAGTACAAGTGTATGTGGACGCACACTTAACACATCTAGTGAGGTGATCATTACGTCAGATAAAGAAACACACACACACAACAAAATCAGATCAATATAAAACTACAAACAAAAAAGTGTAAGTTCGAGTTTTCTATTTCACACACACACATATACAACAAATAAACAAACTTTGAAACTTTAATAACGTGTATGTAAATTGTTGTTGTGATACAATTGGCTCTGATAAGTTTTTTTTTAAAAAAAACTGGCAGTTTGTTGTAGCGTTTCGCCCTAACAAAAAAAAGGTGAGCTCTATAACTATATTCAATAACAGACGTCTGAATACATAAAAGTTTTCAAGTGTTGGTTTGTAGGGAATTGATTGGTTACAGGATTTCATCATGAACTGACATTAGTTTTTTTAATCCCTTACGTTCCAAGTGGAACAAAGGTGGCTTCAAGCTAAAGGTTTGGAGTTTCGGTAGCAGTGATGGTTATTTTTACGGGATATGGTTGCTAACCTCATGCCCAACCTTTCCTCTTTACAAGTCTTATTACTAGCTTAGCGAGGTAAAGGGTGCGTCGATGACCGGGGATCGAACCCCGAGATATATGAGACGTGGTTGGTGAGCATCCCACCGTTGTGCCACGGACGTACGGCACGACATCATACTCCTGGCTATCTCAATCAGAATACTAAGCCGCATCATCCTGGAGAGAATAAAACACACCGACTTGGATGAAAAACTTCGACCGGAACAGGCTGGATTCAGGAGGAATAAGTCATGCGTCGATCGAATTGCAACACTACGGATCATCATTGAACACAGCTTAGAATGACAGTCAGCTCTCTACCTCACTCAACTTCATCGACTTTGAAAAAGCTTTCCACAGCGTCGACCGAGAGGTGATTTGACAACTACTTACTTCACTATTACCAAATGGTGCTGCAAACAATTATACAGCTTTCGCTTCCTCTTCACACAATCTCCTCCATGTAACTCTCTAACCCTTACTTAATTCATCGTTTCTTAATTGAATTCAACTACACAAGGCCTGGTAAGTGATGCCAGTCAACGATCTCTTCAGTATACGTCTAATCCATCTCAATTATCTTCAGCAAATTTGTTGGGAGGTGGATTACCTGGTGAGCTGACTGCCAGTAAATTATTAACAGTCGTTAATCTATAAATATATACCAATGATGAATATCAATTGGCACAAAATAATGTGTATATTATATTTTGCTTTGTGTGCATATGATAGAAGTGTGTGGGCGGTGATTAGATTCCAGTTGCCTACATCCTCCCTCACCCCCCCCCCAGTGGCAGTTGATTTAATGCATATTTTTAATAAATCTGTTGCATTCACAAAATGAAATTTCAAATAATAAATCTTCATTAAAACGTGTATTGCCAACAGAGTTCTGATTGTTTTCCACAAAAAAAAAAATAATAATTTGATACTTTCTCTTCATTAAAAAAAAAACAAGCTTACACTATTTTTGTTCTAGGAGGATAGAGCGCCCCACCCCCACCCCCCCTGTCCAACGAAAAATGAAACAGAAATGAAGATTTCAGACTGGCATGAATGCACTTCAAATTCCTAATTGCGGTGGACTGGACTATGCGGAAAAGGCATCAAAGATAGGACTTCACTTCAGGGGAACATAGAGAAAAAAGAGATGATGAAGATTCCTGGACCACACCAACAGCAACAACAACAACAGACAACAATCAGCCAGCATAAATGGGAGGAACCTGAAAGAAACAACCTCCTTTACCTACCTACCTGGGAAGCATCGTTTCAACTACAGGCGGACGGAACTGATGAGGATACCAAAGCAGCTAGGACAGGGAAAGCAAGACAAGTTTTCATTACTCTCAAGCCTGTGTGGAGGTCAACACTCAGCATGAAAAGCAAAATCCGGATTTTCAATTTCAATGTGAAGTCAGTGCTACTTACTATACGGATCACAGACTTGGCCAGAGTGTCATGAAGGGCACCTCAAACAAACTACAGACCTTCATCAACAACTGTCTTCGCTCAATACTTCGCTGAAGATCAGATGGCCGGCCAAAAAACATCAGCGACAAGAAGGGATCTCTGGCAATGGGCGAACCAACCAGGAACCTATTGTGCAACAAATATGCAGGAAGAAATAGAGGTGGATTGGCTGGCCACACTCTGAGAAAACAAACCATCAAGTGACATCACTAGACAGATCATCATCGCTCGAGTGGAACCCGAAAGGGAAGCAACGAGGTGGTCGTCAGTGTGACGGTGATTTGGAGGAGGTCATGTGAACAGGAGATGAAAGCATGTAGGCTGACTTGGAGCAAGGTGAAAACTCTAGCAGAGAACCAAACGCAATGGAGACGCGCGGCTGAAGCCTTATGTTCCTCTGGGAATTAAAGGAAATATTAATAATAGTAACATGTTTCAGATGACAAGTTACGTAATTTGGAAAAACTTAGTCGGGTAGGAAATTAAAGAAAATAAAAAAATTAGCAACAGGAAACTCCAGGAACCAACAGACCACCAACCTATAGGTCAACAAATATGTAGGAGTAAATGGAGACGGATCAGACACACATGCTGAGAAGAGCGTCGAATGATATCATGCACCAGCCAGGCTATCGAGTGAAACCTGAATGAGGAATGACATGGAGGACATAAGGTTAAAGAGTGCATAGATCAGCGAACATTCGATCATTGAACCACCGACCACCTGTAACTTATATATCGTTACAATATCTCTTCCTCCCTCCAAATGTAAGATGATGTCACAGGGCTGAACTACACTGACTCCTAGTTTAGAAATATGGAGTGAATTGGTACAGCGTGCTAGCTAGCCACTTCACTTATTATTTGGGAAGTTGCATCAGCCAACGCCAGTGGATTCATCACTGTAGAAACCTCAGCACGGATACAGAGGGCTAGTTTCGCTTATGTCAGTTTACACCGTCTCTCGCTTAGTAGACGTGAAATGTGACTGGCTGTCGACCAAAAGGTATGTGTACTGCTCAGCTGTAGTCCGCCTCGTCCTCCTTTATGGCTACCTGTGAGACCTGGCCATTGAGAATGGGAGACATGAAAAGGCCGGCTAGCTGTCTGATATCAGTCACAAATTAACCAGTCGTTTCTTTTATAGACAAGCAGATTGAAGTGACCCACATACACTGAAAGCTTGTTCCAGTCACTTGACGCCACCGAGCTTAACGATACAACAAAAATCGAAGAACACTTATTATTTGCCTTTCTTCTTTTGCATTTGACTGCACTTACCTGAAAATATTTCATTGATCCTTTAGCATGATAAACATCGAACAGACGTGGGACTTGTATCAACCAACGTACATTATCTGAATACACTTTACAGTCGATAGCCCATTTAGCTAAATTATCCCATTCATTAATTGATCTACCATAGATCGATAGACGTGGTTCAGCATTTTGATATTTGGATTCGGAGAGATCTGAAAAAACTTCCTGTATATTTTTGAAAAAAAAGAAATAAAAAGAATAAGAACCATTATCGATCAAATAAAATTATTATGATCGTGATCATTGTTATTTTACAAGGAATAGAGGGGGCGGGGGGAGGAGTAACACTGTGGCGAATGCTACTGATAAGGTTTATCAGTAGTATATTGTAAGGAGACGTTTACTTGCCGAAAAACATCAAATATCAGGGATATTCAAGTATTGGTTTTTAGGGATTTGATTGATTGGTTACAGGACTTCATCATGAGCTGACATTGGTTAGAGAACCATTGGAAAACCTGTGAGTACTGGACAGATGTTTCGTTCAAATTTTGGGACCCTACAGCAGTAGGCACTCACTCCAGAGGGATTCGAACCCAGGACGTTCAGATTACAAGGCTAGCAAGCTCGTAGACCATTAAGCCACTGAAACCCGATTCAATGACTATCCCATGAATTCTAACTTCTGCCAATTCACAACACAGCGCAACCATTTCGGAATGTCTTCTTCGATGAGTTACTGCCTCATTTTCAACCTGCTGTAACCTACTGGTCACGGCTTCGCAAAAGAACCCTAAGTAACTACGTACCTGAATAGGGCCAGTCGCTAGTGAGTATCATCAATTTTCAAGTATGGTTTGTAGGGATTTTTGTTTGAGTGTTTGGGGGATATCACCATGAGCTGACATCGGTTAGAGAACCATTGGAAAAAAACCAGGGAGTACACAACAGGTGTTTCGTCCTAGTTTAGGACTCTTCACACTCACACATTTACTCTTCAAATTTTGAATTTTGTGGGGGGTTTTGATAAAACTATAAAATATATACGGATTATACCATCGTGAACACTATCTAACCTGACTAGAAAAAGTAGAACACTACGTAGGTGTATTTGTTCAGTAATAGTGTGGTGAGAGCTGGCTACTAGCCAAATCGGTAGACAGTGAATTACGTCAATGTTTACGTCCCCAATATTGGTCGTGAAAAAAAAATAAGAACAAAGACTGATTCAACAATCAAACACAGCAGACTCTGTTTGCGTAGGCGGATACAATTTGCAGATACATAATCTGAACTTCAAGAAACAGCCACAAAGAGATCAAAGATTAACGTTCAGCGAAAAACAACCAGTCAGAAGACTGTTTGTTTTGCTTACAATAATCTATAATAATGTACATGAAAATCTATACATATCCGTTGATTTCCTTAATAAGCGATCTGTTTTCTGGTCCTTGTCTTCTGTTATTATACAACAGAACATTAATATATGTGTAAAAATTGGGCACTCGGGTAGTAAGTAATTCCATATTAATTTGTTTATTAGATATATCACACAGTGAAGAAACAGTATTGATCGTAATAGTTTAACTTTGCTCAACTTACCACACTCCATACAGAAGACAAAAAGTTGAGACAAGAAATTTAAAAGAATTATGACGAATGAAAATGCATGCGAGAATCACGCGGATTCAATAGATCTCAGAGACTACAAAGCGTAAATGCACCAGCGCCACTGACAACAACTTTTCGCCACATCAACAACACTCCTAAGGCGTCAAGTTCAACAATAGCGTCCCAAGAGTGCGAACGCAAGAGTTAACTTCAGTTGACCAATCATAAAAAGGATGAATACATCAAAAAATGATGTATATTGACAAGAAAATGCTTGAAAACACATTACTAAACAGGTTATCTTTCTCTGACATGGCTTAAAAATACGTCCTAGTTGTAATGAGGAGTATATCAGTTGCGAAGTTAGACTAGTTTCTGTACATGTATTCACTGAGATGACTGCAGACAAACTGTTTTTGTGAATCGTTTATCTCTCTCATCCTGCTTGAAGTCTTCCGAAAAAGGCCGCGGTTGAATTACTACGGTATCCAGCAAGAGGATAAACAACTACTTACCAGGAAAACGTGGATAATAAAAAAATTACAATAAATGACACCAACAATAAATTTATCCCTGGTCGTAACCATAAGCTTAATCCCGACCGTAACACTAAATCTAACTTTAATCCTAACCCTAATCATAACCCTTATTCAAACCGTAATTCTAACCCTAACGAGCTATTAACACATTGTCTAAACAGTACTTAAAAACGTGATCTGGGTGAAATTTTGCTCTTAATTTGGCGAATAGCGTTGATATTTCAGCTGTGATGATAGTGACAGATGCTGTCGGCCAACGACTAGCACGCGTTCAAGGTCATTGGAACGTTCACACCCTGGGACGCCATTGTTGAACTTCGTCCCTAAGGCATTGATTCTAAAAACATCTTGAGAACCCCAGACTGGAAGTCTATATCACCCCACCCCGCTACGCACACATACCTACCTTTTTGTGTTTCAAACCACACAACAGTCAATGACTTTGTGAATTGATATCAGGTGTAAAATGCATCAAGTAAATCAAGTAGAAACACACAGAAGAAGAAAGAAGAGAGAGATGCCCGACCTACCTACCTTTAAAACATGCGCAAAGAATACACCTTTTATGTAATTATCCGATTTTAAGAATACTTCACGTAGTTGACTCTGACCAATTGGATTGTACTTGGCATTGAATTTATCGAATCGATGAAATGTATTACGATCCTAAATGGTAATCGGGAGAGAGAGAGAGAGAGAATAATGATCAAAGAGACACTACACAACAAAGATACTATACAATAACACACAATAAAAAAAGTAAAAAAAAACAACCAAAAACCAGTGAAATCTTTATTTCATTATTTCTGATGACAAAAGTGTTCAATTGAATTGGCATCTTGGATACAAATTTCATGGTTCTCATTCATCGATGCTTTTCACTATCAAAAACAACAGTTGAATTTCACATTTCACACACTTCTTAGATGTGATAAAACAGAGAGAGAGTATGCCACGTTAAAAAGAGTATTTCATCTGACTTTTTGCATTTAGAAGAAGTTAAGGCATTCAGGCATAACCCATAACCCAACCACTCCTCCTCTTACAGTTTGTCAACTTGTGCATCTTATCCATTCTTCCTCTTTACTGTTCACCCCTGCTTATTCTTTCCTGGATTGCTTAAAAAAGACTATGCCATACTTCGTAGAACTCTGAAGAGTGACTGTGAGTAGGACGAGAGGCAGCTATCCCTATCCCACTGGGCCATATCGTTGACATTGTCACCGATAGGCACTTGATGTCGTGCAACAAATTTGCTAAAGGAATTTCGTCAGACTATGAGCACGTAAGTATAAGAAGTCCACCATACCATTATTCAAGGCATGTACTTTATGTGATGCAAATAGTGTTAGGCATGAACTAACCAACTAGCCTTCTTTGCACCTAATAAATAAACCGTTACCTCCACCCTTACAACATCAAACTTTGCTGTTATTGTACTTCTCATATTTATAGTATCCTCAATTTTTTGTATTTATTTGTTTATTTTTTCATAAGTGTGAATATCATTTTAGCTGTGTTATAACTGTAAATGTTGTATTTCCCCTCACCATGCTGCTATATCAACAGAACATTAGATTCAATAATCAATTATTATTGTTTCCCTTGGGTTCCTAGTGGAACATAGGGCTTCAACTCCACGTCTCCACTTGCCACTTCTGTCTTCCTCCTGCTGTACTTCTCACCTCCATCCATGTTAGTCCATAGTGTTTCCACTCCTCTTCACACGGTCTCCTCCATGTCACCCTTGCACTGACGTTCCACTCGCCGCTTCCCTTTCGACCTGGTTCCACTCGAGCAATAGCCTGATGCGCGAGCGATGTCACCCAGAGGCCTCCTCAGCGAGTGTCCAATCCATCTCCATCCACTTTCTCCTGCATATTTGTTGGTTGGCGATTGGTTCTTGCTTTCTTTCGTTGTTCCCATAGTTTCTAGTCGATGATTCTTTCCGGCCCGGCCCGGCCATCTGATCTTCAGTAGAGAGCCAGCGAAGACAGTTGTTGGTTTATAAAGGTAAGTCTGCAACAGGCTGTTCGAAATATTCTTTGTGACCCGCCCGCCCGCCAAGTTTCTCATCCGTATATAAGAACTGACTGACTTGACGTTGTTTGTATTGAAAATCCGACTGAATTTTGTTGTTGATTCTGGCTGGCTGAGTGACGAAGATTTCCAGATTGGTTACAGGTTGATGAATGTGTGTGTTTCTCGCCTGCTTTCCCGATTCTCGCTCGATTTGACATCCTCGTCCGTTCTGACATCCTGCAGTTGAGACAATGCTCAATGCTAGATAAGTGGATGAATGAAGTAGCCTCTTTCAAATCCCTCCCGTTGATGGTGATTGGCGCTTGATGTTGCTGCTGTGGTTGTTGTTGGTTGGTTGGTTATTTACATAACCTCCGTCTTGTCTATGTTCACTTAGAGTCCTATCTTCGCCGGCTGCTTCTTTGACCAGTATGTCAGTTGGTTTTCGTTTGTAAGTCTTCGATTTCGTGTAACATCGAACATAAATCATCAACGCACGAAATTCAGGTCTTCTAGGTTCTTCACGTCGGTCCAGGATATCCCTGTGTTCTCGTTTCCCATTACTGTCTGACGAATAATCCAGTCAGTCCACCACAATTAGGAATATCATTGGTGATAATAAGCACCCTTGATACTTTTTAAAAAATAATGCCTTTTGCCGTAATATAAATCTCACTGATGTACAGTTGGCTTGAGAATGAAGTCGTTGTAAAGAAATCCGTTTCTTCGCTGAATAAAAAAGACGACTGTGTTTTTTTTTTATGAATGATGAATGAGTATATTTCGCGACTATACTACTATATTATATCTGTGAAATAACTGTGATCCAGTGAACTGATAGAAGAGGGTTAATACACGCAGACGACAAATAACACTGATAGAGAGAGAGAGAGAGAGCTAAAAACAATTGTTGTTTACAAAAATATTTCAGTAGTAAAGCTATTTTAGCTTAGCAATTTTTTAAAATGTTTTTCTTGACAAAATATAATTGATACCAGACACCAACTGTCCAATTTTATGCTTTGTACGGGATTGATGGATTAAAAAAGTTCATTGGAAAGATCAAAAAAGGCCGAAAGAAAATTAAAAATAACTGTGAAACTAGTAAGCACATAACATAAATAAGAGGGAATATAAGTCATCTACTGTTATACCACATAAGGAGGGGACATCTGAGACCCTCCCTACATAGGATTCCTAATAAAGCAGGAATTAGGCTGGTGGTGGCATTCAAACCTACAAACTCACTCACTCACTCACAGACAAATTCTGTAGGCTAAAAGACTCGGTTGACCCAATTAAATAAAATAATATAATTTACAAAATACCTTAAAAATAACTGTGAGTTGAGTCAACTATAGAAGTCAAACTAGTAAGTCCAGGTGTAATCAGATTGGCGGAACATAAGAATTAGGCTAAGGTAAGAATGCTTGACCCCGAGAAGATGAGTAATTTGGAAAAAAGCTCAGCAATTGCAATGCATGCGCTAACACACAACCACACAATAGGGTGGGAGAGGGTTAAAATTCTAAAAAGTAATCTAGGGTAGTAGGAAAGAGACACTGATTACTGAATCCTTGCCTGGTTCATCGAGTCTACACCCAAAACGATACATGCAACAGAAATGACTCACTGCAAGCATCAGAGATATACATGGAAGACATTATTACCATCAGTCAGCTAGCAATTCAGAGGAGGATAATAAATAATCTCCAAATTCTATTTCAATTCAATTCCCGTACATCACAACATTCTAACAAGTTACTTATTTATTGGTAACATGCCAGCAAGTCTACAATACACTAAGCTAGTCGAGTCATGACAGACAGACAAACAGACAGCCTGTAGAATCTGATTGCTGTCGCGACAGTAGGGTTGCAAGGGTAACTGACAAAGTCGACATGTTTATCGAAACCAATCAGTGAATGTCTTCTTCAATAGAAAAAGATTTTAGTAATGAATAATAACGATAATAATTCTACTCAGAAATACTCTTTTTTGATTAATTTTTAATTTATTACGAGTTCTCCATATGAACGACGAAACGACATGAGATAACATCTGTTGCAGTCTAGTCAGACAACACCCAAAATGGTATTGGTGGTGGTGGTGGGGGGGAGGGGATATCACGATTTTCCAATAGTAAAACACCCCAGCACAAAATATATAGAGTTATCAAAGCATAAATATGTCTGGGTGATAAAATTTAACTGCTAGTCCAGTTCTATTTATTTATTTATTTATTTGAATGGGAGACAAAGAGGACAATATGCTCAAAACAAGAGATATGTCACAGACTTATGATAAATGTATCCGATAACCTTTCGACTCAGTGAATCGAACTGTCTCTCGAAACCTACAGCCCAAGAGTTTTGATGTATGAATGAATACCCTCTTAAGTCCTACAGGAGGTCAATCGCGAGCCAGCCCGAATAGCTCAGTGGTAACGTCTATGACTGCAGCCGGCACTGAGTGTCACGGGTTCGAATCTCAGAAGGGCCATGAGTTCCTTAAGGGTCACAGATACGTCTTGTTGATGGGTGCTAACCAGCATGAAACCTAGGTCCAAAGCTTCCTGCCGATTGCCTCCAACTACTTAATATCATCAAATGCTTATATAATACAACTATCCTTCATCCTACAGTGACACATCAAACCTCCGTTTTTTCTCAACCCAATCACAGAGCTAGAAAAAATTGTGATACCGGTAGTTCAAATTTTACAGACCGACAACTGATATAAGGTATGCGTCGGCAGGGGATCGAACCCCAGAGCACGTTCATGGCCAGTGAGAGTACTAACCCGCTGTGCCAGTCACCTAACGAAGCTGACGCTCCAAGATGGCAACATTTGTCAGGTGACTACGTGCAACATGTCTCAAGACTTCAGAATTACATCCACGGAGACAGCTATGATGAAATACGCAGAGTCACCTCACATCTGCAGCTCGGAGAGGCCAGGTTTCACGGGTGCAGAGAGAGACAACACGCGCCGAAGCATTGTATAACCGATCTTTGACAGTCACGTTAATGTCACAACGGCGCCAGAGGTAGCTTAAGTTGATGAGTGCCACTCTAGCCTTCATTATACGGTTGGAAATCTCATCCGTCACCTCTCTGCCAGCACTCATACACAAACTTATCAACAAACTCAAGTTGTTCACCCTCAAGAGTGAGTGCAGCTGTAGGCTTCTGCCAATCTTATAACAGTACTCTGCACTTAGACGGCGCAAAGCACATACCATACACTTACAGATACTAATCGCCAACTGATTAAGTGCAATTTGTACAGCCTACATGCTATCACACAGTATGACGATATCGTGTGCATGCATACTCGAGGTTGAAAAGTCTCCCTCTCCAGGGGGTAGATCTACTACAACACCACCTTCACCCATCCCCTTTCAGAACTGACTCCAAAATGTCATCGATGGCAAAGTTAACGAGAAATGGAGAAAGATCTGGCAACCTTGTCTAATCCCATTGTTGGTTGGGTACAGCGATGATGATATAGTTGTGGTTGTATGCCCTCCCTCTACACCTGAGGAGGTGTTTCTGTAAAGAGCTTTCAGAATGTTCACAAATTTCTCAGATACACATCCCCCTCTCAGTTCTATCGAACAAATCGAACAAAAAAGATAACAAACAAACTAATCTCAATATTTAATAGTAAACGAAATAAATTCTTAATATTTTAAACGTTAAATTAATTACTTAAAGTTGTCAGTCTGTAGACAAGAGAAAAATAATAATTTCAATTTGTTATGTTCTAGTTTCCCCGTCGCCAAATTGTTATGTACTCGTCGCTAAATTATTGTTATGGAATGGTCGAGAAACTAATAGTCCTGACGCGAGAAGGCGGAAATCAGAAGACCACTAGGTGGTTTGCGATGATACTTCTATTGTCCAAACACAAGGAGACGAAAATAAATGGTCTCACACCAAAGTGGTAAGTAAGTAAAGTAGTTAAGTAGTTCACACAAATTGTGAATGCGAATATATATAAATAATTCAGACAAAACGTGGGAAAAATCATTAGACAGTCTTAACATGAATGGCTAATTATAATGGAGTGTCGATCCAATTATACATAGCGAATATAGCAGGCATGTCAACAAGTACCATATATGGATATATGTCACCAAGCAACGGACTGTCAACAAACACTCATATTATATATAATATAATATAAGGAGAATACACATTATTAAAGGAGACAAGTCCATACAAGTGAAGTGGTCACAGACTAACCGAGCAAACAGAAAGAGAGACCAACATGCACACACACATATATATATATATATGTGGATACATATCACAATTTGACTATAATATTGAGAATAAACAATATTTTTTCAAAAAAAACGAAAACATGTGAAAAGGATATGGAGGGTGAGGGCGACAGTATGTTGACAACAGAACGAACACATTAATGTTTATTCAATAATAATAATAATAATAATAATAATAATATTTACGGTTTTGTAAACATACAAAAGGTTATCTTAGATAACGTAAACATCACGCGTAAGTATAAACATGGAGCACTGCTCTCACTTTATCTGGTTATAGAATGACTACATCGCAAATTATATATAAACATATGCAGTCCAACTGACACTTTTTATAATATATACGTCATCCGTTATAATTACATTTGATGAATAAACCAGAGAGGTTATATATATATATATATATATATATATATATATATATATATATATCATTATTCACAAATGTACCTTTGATAGAAACAGTTAATTACATCGGTGAACAAATGGACAAGCTGTCGATAACACATTGGCATACATACTGAGATTCTAGAAGAATTGATATTAAGATGTACCATGAATGTAAATTTCAAATTTAACGGCATACTTTACAGACAAGTGGACGTGGGTGGCGAAGGGCTCCCCAATGGGTCCCATTCTTTCTAAGTAAGCTAGAAAATGGACCTCTGAACAACCTTATCACAGTAAGCTCTCATTTTATTGCCGATATATGGATGATACCTTCATCCTTTGTAACAATGGTTCTGATAAGAGTACAATAATTACTGAATTCAATGAAGTACATTCGGCTATGAAATTCACATGTGAAGAGGAATCCCAAGGCAGAATTGCCTGCCTTCCTGGATGTCCTACTTACAAGAAAACCAGATTGTGGCATACAAAGAAATTTGCATAGAAAAAGCACTTGGACAGGACAATATACACATTTTCACAGTTTCGTTCCTATCAAGTACAAAAGAAATTTAGTGAAGACCCTCAGCCACACAGTTAGAGCTATATGCTCAGAAGTAATTGAAGATAAATTAAGCATTGTGTATATGATACTTTGATCGAAAATGGCTATCCCGAAAAATTTATCAAGAAACATATGACAAAGAAAGCGGCGGAAAAGGAGTACTCACTATCTGTTAAAAAGAAGCCTCTTTATATACGACTACAATTCATGGGTGATATGCCAAGCGAGATAGTTGCGAGGAAATTAAGAAAATCAGTTCAAAGAACTTTCAACGCTGGCGAACTACACGTCTTATTCTCTAAACGACCGATGGTGCTACCTCGACTGAAAGATGAAGTACGTAAACTAGCTGGCCACTTTAAATTGTATCTACCAATTCAGCTGCGCTTGTGAAGCGAGTTATATTGGCCTTTGCTCTAGCTAGGAACTTGGTTTTTCGTGCTCACTCTAGTGTGGCTAAGTAAAAGTGTAGTAAAAACAATCAACACTTCGATATTGGACTATCTTGTGTAAACCGGCCACAAAGCCAGCGTAGAAAAATCCTCTATATTATACCGGGTGCCAAATAAATTGCCAAAAACATCGAAGCACTGCAGGCTCCAAACAGCAGACGCTATTGCGATTCGCTTCAGATAACCAGCACTCTGTATCCAAAAGAAGCAAGTCCAGCCCCTACTATTGTCCTGGCCTTCAGGAGAGACTATAAATTCATGAATTTGTAATATTATCCTTCCTAATTCTTCTGACATTCAGCTTATCTTATGTTGATGCTATTGAGCTGTAATCTGTCAGTATTATTGATTCGATGTGATTTGAAAAGCAACATTAATGTTGTTCATAACACTAATTCATTCATTCACTAATAATGTATGTAAATAACTGTAGAGCCTGATGATGAAGAGCAGGTTACCAAAAAGAGTACTCTTTGTTCAGTATCCATTCTTTTGAAAATTAAATTTGTTTTTATGAGTTTGACCAGGGATTCATGTCAATTAGAGAACCATTGAAAACCGAACAGGGAGTACTGAACAGCTAGCACCCACCGCCAGGGTTCGAATCCAGAACCTTCCGGTTACAAGGCAAGCTGGCTTGTATATCATTCAGCTACTGGGACCCGATTCAATAACTAGCCCTAGCATGAATTCTAACTTCTAACCAATTCGTGATTTAGCGCTCACACTGATATCAATCCGATGTCGAACTCGTATATATATATATATATATATATATATATATATATATATGCCTTTCTAATGACTCTATACAATCTCTGGTGTAGAAACCCACTAGCTACGTCATCAATGAACTGGAGCTTCATGAAGAACTGTTGTTTCTTTTTTTCTCAAAAATAGTTGAATTTTTCAAATTGTAGAAAATAAACATCATGACACTAGACAAAAAAAGACAAGCAGTTCGGCAGACATAACCATCATTTCGGCGATTTCATTGTCGAAAATAGCCGTACAATCGCATTTACATGCATAACTTCACATAGATACAATTATTTCTATCTAATGCCACATTCCATTTTATTTTTTGATTACAGCTTGATTCCACACTGTATTTTTGGTACAAGTATGGAATTTTCAGCATGGATATCGGTAGCCCAAATTTTGCAGGCCGACCATAGATATCAAGGTGTGCGTCAGCAGGGGATCGAACCTCGGACCATGTGCATGGTCGGCGAGAGTCCTAACCGCTGTGCCACCGACGAGGGCGATTTAAGGGTAATAATAATAATAATTCTCTAGCCACCCACTGCTTCTAAACAGTGTTAAGGACAGACTTTCTCAAATGGACACTCCAGTGTGCATATAACAGTTCAGATGCTTGTGCAAAGCTAGGTACATAGGTCATACTATGCTCATCCTTTCAAAACCTGTTAGAGAACATTACCCAGAATGGCTACAAAGAAGTGGGAGACACCAGTTCAATCAGAAGCGCCATAAGTAAACACCTCGTCAACACACCCCGTCACAGCATCTCGGTTGACTCATCCATCATTCAGAGTCATTTACTCGGTAAACTAAAATCTACCAAAGACAACCAGTGTTTCCGACTTCTTTGTACTACTCCAGAAGCCTTCGCTATACGCAAAGAAAAGCAGGAGCTATCGTTCAAAAGAAATTAGTTCAACCTATATATATATATATATATTAACAGGGATCTAGTTCAGTGTGAGCCCTTAGTTTTCGTCTTTCAGTTGAAAACCATTAAAAACCAACCAGGAAATACTAGACAGCCAACTGTTTCGTCCTAGTATTCAGGAGTCATCGCTAGTATGTATGTAGAGTTCGAACCTAGGACCTTCAAGGTTACAAGGCAAGTTTTTTAAGAGCATTCAGCCACTGGGACCTGACTCAACAGCTAGCTCAGAAATTCCTCCATCTACCAATTTGTGTTTTTAACCGAGAATGGCAATAGCCAATAACTTGATAGGTGGCAAGTCATTTGTCATCCCTCCCAACCGAATGGCTTTCGAGCGTTCTTGAATTGGTACCAATCTGTGGTGAAACTTGAAAGAAATCATTTAATAGTTGTTTATTTGTTACCATTTGAGAAAAACAATAAGGTTGAACACAGAGACATACACACATACATTCAGAGAGACAATAAATAGTAACACAGTGAACTTACAGCATGAACGTCCAAGTTATCAATATTTAAATCGTATAGAGTAATTCCAATTTTGTCAATTAGCTTAACAATGAGAGAGAAAAAACAGACATAAAGATTGAAGAAAACACACACACACAATAAGGAAATTCAATTAGAATTAGGAATCAATAAATAAATAAAAATTGATTGTTTATTTTTATTCAGTCACGTAAAACTGTAACAATTTCAAGTGTTAGTTTGTAGGGATATGATTTGCTTAGAGTTTGATCGTAGAAATGAGTACTGTACAACTATTACGTTTGTTTACAGGATTCTATCATGAGCTGACATTGGTTTGAGAACCATTGGAAAACCTCCCAAGGAGTACTGGACAGCTGTTTCCTCCGTCCTAGTTTGGGACTCTTCAGCAGTATGCATTCACCAGGCTTCGAACCCAGGACCTTCTGGTTACAAGGCAAGCTAGCTCGTAGACCATCAAGCCACTGGGTCCCAACTCATTGATAAGCCCATGAATTCTAACTTCTGCCAACTCACGATATAGCGCAACCGCTAGACAATGTCTTCAGGGAGTATTTGTCCTCACACACGACCTGCTGCACCCTACTGATCGTGAATTCCCACTAGAACCCCAGGTAGCTACCTACCTGAATAGGGCCAGTCACCAGTGAGCATCTCATTGATATTCAAGTATTGGTTTTGTAGGGATTTGGTTGATTGGCTACAGAATTTCCTCATGAGCTGACATCGGTTAGAGAAGAGTCACAGAATGAAACAGGTGTTCAGTACTCCCTGGAAGTTTTCCAATGGTTCCCTGACCAATGTCAGCTCGTGATGATATCCTGTAATCAATCACCCAAATCCCTACAAATCAATACTTGAATATTACGTTCGTATTTTGAAATGTTCAACAATACGCGCATCTACACACTACCAGGGATTGAATCCAGCGACTTCAAGTATACAAGGCGAGCTCATTGACCATTTACAGCCACTGGAACAGAATCCAATGGCTTATCAAATCCGAAAATGAGCACATCACCACTGGTCAATGTCACAAGCAAGTCTTCTGTTCTCACACCCAGTCGGGTGGATACACACCATTGGTCACGATTTCTTACTAGGACCTCAGGCAACTTTGTCCTGAGACGAGTCACTTGGTCATTGAAACAAGGGGGGGGCATGAAAAACGCCGGCTAGTTGTCTTTGATCATGTGTCTGCGTTCTATCTCCCGGTGTTAATTGGTATAATATCTATTGATATAAGAATAAAACTTGGGCACTGTGGTGGTAGAGTATAACTCCATTATGGTTAAGACATTTTTATTCTTATACGTTCCCATTGGGACGTAGGGCGGCTTCAAGCTAGAGGCTTGAAGTTTCGGTAGCAGTAGTGTTTATTTTTACGGGATGGGGTTGCAAGTGCCATACCTAACCTTCCTTGTTTACCAGTCTTATTACTGGATTAGCGAGATAAAGGAGTGCGTCGGTGGATGATGATCGAACCCCGAACCACATGATGATGCGTGGTTGATGAGCATTCTACCGCTGTGTCACCGACGCACAATGGTAGGATAGGGCAAGTAAAATAATGAGGTTAAGTATCGGTCGAGTACTAGGTCAGCAGAAAAAATCAATCGATGTGGTTGTGAAGCAACTGCATCGATTGAGATGGTTAGGATATGTGTTACGCATGCAAACGAAGCCATCTCCTTCCTCAACAATAGGCAATGTTAGGTGAGATACGATGGATCAGGTTGAAAAGGAGCTAGTGGTGGTGGTCAAAGTAAAAACATGGCTTAATCGTAAATCAACGAAATTCATAACAGTTAGTTTAAACTCTGCAGGCAAGTCGAACTATGCAAAGTTCTGTATTGAAACTAGTCAGTCAGTCAGTAAGTCTGCATCATGGATAGTCTCAATGAAGATTTCATCACGAAGCAACATCATCGGTTTGGAGTATCATCCAAAAACCAGGAAGCACATCGACGAACTCTTTCGTTCCAGCTCAGGGAGGGGGTCCGGAGAACACCTATGACTTCGCTAGGGATCAAAATCAGAACCGTTGGGTTACCAGATCGAACTCATTGACTAGTGAGCCAGTTCAGTCAGTAGTCAATGTGACTCTTGAATCCCAAACTTCTGGTCGATTAGCGTTACCATCAACTGGTGCCTTCGATAAGCTCTCAATTCACCTTGGGAGGGGGGAGCATGATAGTAGCCACAATCCATTCAGATAATCACGAATAGGCTGGAAACTGATATTTACATATATGGGGATTATTGATGTGGTTGTGTTCTCTGAGCTAGCTAGATAGTTAATTTGCCAAGCTTTCATCGCTTTGATAGGCGACATCTTCAGCACATACTTCAATTCGAATTGAAGTGAGCTTTTAGATTTCTCCACGAGTTTATTAATCATCTGTCCTGACAGGTGACCTTGGACGTGAATGGTTGTTTTTGTGTGTTTTCACACCCTTTAGGTTACTTGTATTGGAACTGATTGTTTCTTTGACTTGAACTTTGACCCTTTGTGTGTGAGGATTCTTTCTTATTGGTTGATAAATTTTGTCTATCTCGATGTTCTATTGATTGATGATTCACTGGAATACCAAGCTTCTAAAAATTCTCTAGCATTCTTTGTGTTTCCTTTGTCTAATATATGAACGTTGTCCCAGTCGAATTGATGTCCGTGCTTGCCTGTATGTTGTAATATTAGTGATGGAGTGGATATCATGTCTTTTGACGGCTAGCTTATGTTCGTGGATACGAAGACGAAAAGGTAGGTAGTCCACTTTGGCCAATGTAGTGTTTTTATCAGTTGTTACAATTTATTTTGTTGATGATGTTGGTTTTATCTTCTTTCGTTGTTGAGTCTTTTGGTTGACATAAAACCAGCTGATTGAAGTGATTTTGCTGGTTTGTGTGAGACGTCAATTCTCAAAGGTTTGAAGAGTTTTGCAGTGATTTTAGAGATGTCGTTTATATATGGTAGGGCAATTTTCTTTATGCTTTCCTTGGGGGCCTTTGGTTTGATAGGTTGACTTGTATTCCAGTGAATCATCAATCAATAGACACATCGAGATAGACTAAATTTACCAACCTATAAGAAGGAACCACACACAAAGGGTCAAAATTCAAGTCAAAGAAACAATTAGTTCCAATACAAGTAGCTGCCTAAAGGGTGTGAAAACACACAAAAACAACCATTCACGTCCAAGGTCACCTGTCAGGACAGATGATTAATAAACTCGTGGAGAAATCTAAAAGCTCACTTCAATTCGAATTGAATATGCACTGAAGATGTCGCCTAGTAGGGGTGGGGGGGGGCAATGAAAGCTTGGCAAATTAACTATCCAGCTAGTTCAGAGAACACAACCACATTGAAATCATCCCCCTGAGCTACAAATCTTCTCTATCATATCTATATGGCGATTTATAGAACTTTCCTAACTGTATAACATTTTACGATTGTTTGTTTCCTTTTTGCTTGCAAAAGTTAATAAATGCACTTTAAAACATTTTCTATTCATTGTGTTACGCGAAAAAAAGAGAAGGAATAAAACAACAATCAAAATTCCCCCCCCCTATTTATTGACTTAGATTTCTTTATCAAAGGTCAAAAGTACTAATGGGTATTTGGTTGAGATCATATGGGCGTTTCTCATGTTACATTTATTATTATTATTAATATTATAGGTCTTCATCTCTTTTTAAGGCAAATAATACAGTCGTTTTGAATACAACTCATCTTGCGTATTTACATTGCACTTCTTTGTTTTATTTAACTAACGATGAAAGAACTTCATCAACAGATTTATATAGAATTTATTTATTATATTGGATGTAAAAGGAAAGAAAATGATGTCACTGGATGTAGCATCATTATTCACCAACGTCCCACTGCTTGAAACAGTCAACTACATATGTGACCAGCTGATAGAAAAGAAAATAGATGTAGGAATCCCACCCGAAAAGGTCAAAGAATTATTATTGAAATGCACTATGAATGTTCAGTTTATGTTCAATAATGGTTTTTATAGACAAGTTGATGGGGTAGCCATGGGATCACCTTTGGGCCCTTTGCTAGCGGATATTTTCCTGGCAAAGCTTGAAAATGGTCCACTCAAAGACACGATTAAAGGGTTTGACTATTATTGTCGATACGTAGATGATACGTTTATCGTTTGTAATAGAAATCTTAATAAACAAGAGCTTCTGAATACCGTTAATAGTGTTCACCCAACTATTCAGTTTACATGTGAAGAAGAAGACAATAACAGTTTACCTTTCCTAGACGTCCTACTTACCATGAAGACAGACGGATATCTACAAAGGAAATTATTTAGAAAGAAAACTTGGACGGGTCAGTACACCCATTTCCATAGTTTCACACCGATTCAGCATAAAAGAAACTTAGTTAAGTGTCTTAGCTACAGAATAAAACGAATATGCTCAGAGGAATGCATTAAGGAAGAAATGCATAAACTAAAACTCACACTGCAAGAGAATGGATATCCACAGAGCTTCCTAAAAAAGTATATGTCAATACCTATAGACAGGGTAAAGGTGGATACCGTAGACAAGAAACCTTTGTATCTTAAGTTAAGTTACAAAGGGGAAATTGCAGCTGACATTCTAAAGTGTCGACTCAATAGAGCAATAGATAGAACATTTCCCGCAGCTAAATTGGTACTAAACTTCTCAACTAAACCAGTACTCACACAGCAAGTAAAGGATAAATTACCAAAGATGGCCTCATCAATGTGCATCTACGAATTCAACTGCTCATGTGGAGCTAGTTATATTGGCCGTACTCAGAGGGCTTTATCCATGCGCGCACGTGAACATGTACCTGTATGGTTGAGTAAAGGAGTAACCAAAGGCATAAATAGTGCAGTCTTAGCCCACTTGGTAGATACTGGACACCCGATAAAACTTGACCAAGCGTTCTCAGTTATTTACCGCGTTCCTAGTAATTTATCTAGAGGAGCTCGACTACGTCTTCTATCAGTAGCTGAAGCAGTTGCAATTAATACCAGAAGACCATCCCTCTGCATACAGAAGAAGTATGTTCAACCTCTATGTTTACCTTGGCCTACAATAAAGCCAACAAATCCTCCATTAACACTATAAATTCCTTTCGCGATTTTCTTTTCTTTTCCTTCTTCTATTCCTCTGTTTCATTGACAAACGTTCATTTTCGACTTTTATGATTTCATGACCTTTCTTATGATTTTATTACCTTAGGTTTAAATAGTGCTTTTCTAACTTACTATCGTATTTACAAAATCCTGTTCATTCCACTTCATTATATTCATTATTATTATTTGACAATCATTCACCAATAGTACATTTAATTTTACACCATATCATCGTTATTATTTTACAATCATTCTTATTGTTGTTATTTTCAACCTTGAACTTAAGTCTAGACCGCCCCATTCGTTGGTTTATTTTCATATTGCCTCACACACCCTGATTACACTCACTCTTGAAACCTGTATTTTCTGTCAACTATATTTATATATATACACACATCATTAAATTAAATTATTTCATCTCATTCTGTCCCATGTTGTTATTGACCATGCATATTAAAAAACTATATGACTATATGACTATTGTTTCATCCCATCTTATACTTGTTCCACAATACACTTTCTGATATGATTCTAATTCGCCTTTACTGGCTATTGTATGCTTACATTAATGGATTTATAATTGTAGAGCCTGAAGAAGAATTTATTGAAAACAATTGTTCGCTCTAAATATTTTGTTTATTATTATATATATATATATATATATATATATATTATAATATTGTTCCCTTGGGTTCCAAGTGGGATATAGGTGATGTGGGTAAAAGAAGAAGGATGCTCAGCAAGACTTCGTGTGCAGAGGCTATTACAATTTACTTCAAATAACCAGTGCTCTGTGTTCAAAAGAAGTATGTCCAGTCCCTACTACTGCCGTGGTTGACCTTCAGTATGGAGATTATAAATTCAGGAATTTGTATTATTGTTATCTTTCCTAATTATTCTGACATCCAGGTTATTTTATGTTGATGCTATTGAGCTGTAATCTATCAATATTATTATTGATTCGATGTTAATTAAACAGTAACATTAATGTTGTTCATAACACTGCTCAGAAGTCCACTAGATCTTCCTCTATGGCTGGCTGTGAGATCTAACCATTGAGAGTGGAAGACATGAAACGATTAGCTGTCTAAGATCATAGGTGCCTGCGTTCTACCTTCCGTGTGAAGTGGTACAACAAGGTGAGCAATATTGAGGTTACGCCTTGGTTGAAATCGACGAGGCTGTGGAATTACATCGACTGAAATGGTTAGGAAATGTGCTACGCATGCATGCCTAGCCATCGCCTTCCTCGACAGTGAGCAATGTTAGCTGACATAGGGTCAAGGCTAAAAAAGAGCTAGCACGTTGTGGTCAAACCATGGCCCCATTAGTCACTGAAATCCACAACAGTTAGTTTAAGCTGGCCATGTAGAAGGTGTAGACTTCCCGAGTTGTTAGGGTCCTCAGGATGGTGAAAACCAATGCCTGGAAACAGTTGGTGATATGGCTCTAAGTGACCGTTCTCAATGGCTGGCACGGAGCAGATGCATCCACTCCTTGTGACTTATGATTTCCAATGAAACTATATCATTCTTCGACATTACTATTATTTTTGTCTCACACCTCTGTTTACTGTCTCTATTATGCATTTCTTCTACTTTCTTCTCTTGGTTTGTGTGCTACATGAAGGGAGTGTGGGAGACTTGAAGTGGTGGACATCGGTGAAAAAGTTTTCTATCGAAAACAGACAGACAGACAGCAGTACTATGCATAGATATATAACTGTGGAGCCTGATGATAAAGTTGTCAAAAGAGTATTCTCTGCTCAACATCCATTCTTTTGAAGAATTCTAGTTCATCAATCAAATCTTCCAAAGGCCGATTCTCTAGTTTTGCAAGGAAAATGTCTGCTAGAATGTCAGCCCTGCTGGCGACCCCATCGCTATACCATCGATTTGTCCGTATAGCATACAATAACATGTATATACAATTTAATCACGTTTTAGATACCGTAATTATTATTGAGACAATAATGCCCACGATCTCTTTGATAACGAAACTGGTAGTCAATCAACAAAACAAGCGTAAATGCATAAAAAAAACAACTATAAACTATGGATTCATTGACTACTCACATTAACTTAACTAGCAGAGTACTCGCTAGGTAGACGGCTGTTTCGGTCGGCCTGTTTTAAGATTGCGCTTATCAGTGGTATACTCAATTCGACCTAGCTTCAAATGGCTTAAGCCCCTTAAAACCACAAAACACCCTGACTGTTGGCTAGTAGGTGATGTGAACTGCTGATATCATCAAATTCGAACATCCAAGGGGTGCTTAGATCACTTCAATCCGGTTGGCTGACTGGAAACTACTTAATTCAATCAATCAGTAGTATATATATACCTCTATGCATATAATATTAGTAATAGAGAAAGGAAATAGTAATAATAATCATTATTATTGTAATAATAACTTACTTCATTCAATGTGATAGGCTTTTTCGTTTTCGGATCTTCACACACGTGTACATTTGCTTTGGTGCGTATAGTTTTCTTGATAAAACGTAATAAATGCTTTTGATTCATACAGGATGAGGCGTGTAAATGTGTGTCAACCTAGTCAGACGAAAAAAAACAGGACAAGACAAATAAGTGTTCTGTACACACAGACACACTTGATATTCACAACAGAAGACCATGATATAGTCCACCTGAATTATATATATATATATGTTTATTAGATGTATCACACATTCACTGAAGCAGTATTACGCGCAGGATGACAAAGTTTAGAGCACAATTCATTACTGTTCATAATCATTCTATCAATTGTAATCACACGACTTTGAAACTTCAGTTTTATAGTTTTCCGTGCCCTCTCCTATTTGTCGTCGTTGGGGTAGTAGAATTTTCCAGATATCTGGGTGGACAGGTGTTCAATCATTCCTATTACACGTGTTTGCAGTTGATTCGATAAACAAAGATTTCATTACCAATCTCTTCCTCAACACTGGCTGCTGTAACAACAGAAGACAAGGGCCGGCAACAGATCGTTTTATTTCGGAAATCAGCACGTATTTGTATATATATTTCATGTACATTATTATAGCTTATTCAAGAAGACAAACAGTCTTCTGATTGGTTGTTTCTAATTTCTCGGAAAGTTAACCCACATATCTGCGAATCTTATTTGCCCACGTTAAGTCTGCTGTGATTGGTTGTTGAATCAACCTTGTTCATATTTTCTCACGACCAATATTAGTGACCTAGACATTGACGTAAATTAATGTTTACCAACTGGCTGGCAGCCTGCTGTCACCACACTGCTACATTAGATTTTAAAACTGTCATCTAATCCCATCCAGCCTATTGTATGGTTGTGTGACTGCATGTAGTGAGTGCTTTGGCCGAACTATTCTTTAGATTTCTTATCTTATTCGGGTTGTCCAATAAAGATTTTGCTAGGTTTTTATGTTTGGATAGCCTGACTGCCCCTGCTCTACTAGTTTGACCTGACAATCATTACCGACGGGGTATTAGATAAACTAAATTGTTCTGTTATAAAGGCTTCACAGGAGTGATCCATTAACCGGCAAATCTTATTTCTAATTGAGTTTCTGGGTGGTGTGAATGCCAGCCACTTTTATTCCTGCCTTTTAAGAATTCTGCGTAATGTGGTTTCGGAGGTTCCTTCTTTCTATGGAATTACTACTGGTGATTTAGATTCCTTATTGTTGGTGTTGTCTTGCGTATGTTTGACATGCACATCATCATTAATATTACTATTATTATTATTATTATCACTATCGCTACTATCATTGTTTATTTCATTTCTACATTTCCTCACATATTTCCTGAATAATTTATTAAGGTAATTATAAAGTTTCAAGGCTTCTTTTATGTGTATCACTTCCTGTCTTAGATTTTCTTTTGTACTACTTAGTTTTTGTGCTCTGTCACTTGAACATTTCACCAGTCCTCTTTTTACTGACATAGATTGGGTGGGATGATCGGAAATGCAATTATGTGTTTGAATGTGTGGGTTTCCTGTAAACACTAGTGTGCTTCACTTTCCATGCTCTTTCCTTTTTACACTGCAATCTAACATTGGAAGCTTTGCCCTTCCTAACTTTCCAATTCATAAGTGAATAGAATTGCTACCACCTTTTGAGTTAATGTTTTCGAAAAATCTATCTACATCCTGTGTTGTAAGTACAGTGAATGTGTCATTTACATACCTCCAACATACTTTTTGAGGTGGGGATGAACATGTCAATCGTTATTTTTTTCCCACCTATCCATGAATATACCTGCTATAGCAACCGAGGATATTTGTGATCCCATGACAACTCCCTCAGTCTGTTTGTATATTTTCCCTTTGGGTGATTTAAATACTATGAGAGTCAGGCATAGATAGTTGCACTCCATGCATTATGTCCTCAAGTGGCACTTTTGCTCGAAGTTCAAGTTCGTGGTCAGAAATTAATTCGTGATTCGTGTGATTATAATTGATGAAATGATTATGAACAGTAACAAAATTTTGTTTGAAATTGTGTCATTCAGTAAATAATACTGTTTCATCACTGTGTGATACATCTAATAAACAAACTAATATGGAATTTAGATCCTACCCTGACAAATGACTTAATAGCCAAAAGTTCAAACATTAATATTAGATTAAAAAAAGGTAACTCACCTTACGAATATTATAGAAATCTCTGTGTGACACACGTTTCTGTTCAAGTGATTCCCGAGCTTCATTCAGCAGAGAATGCAATTGAAACTTCGAAGCTAAATAGGTGAGTCGACGATAACAAAATGATTTCAATGGACCATCGGCTACAAATGTACGTATGGTATCAAAATCTGAGAAAAAGGTTTGTAAACAGGGCACATTGAATACTGGTAAACCATCGTCATCATTATCATCATCGCCGTGATCGTTATTTGTCTGATGAACTTCACCATTCGCCTTGTCAGTACTCTCTGAAACACCGCCGCCACCACAACCACCACCATTACCATTAACCGTTTCACGGTTACGTATAACATGCATAATCCCTTTGTGGAATTCAAGTTTCACATTCAACGGTTCAGGCCAATAGTCAATTTCGAATGGATCACCGGTTTTTTCAGGTGGATGTATAGGATGATCTAATAAAATGAGACAGAACGAAAACAAGCAAAAATAAAACATGTTCATACATTGATTGATTAGCCCTTTCCTTGTAAATTTGAATAAATCACAAACAACACAGTCTAATGTACAGTCTAATGAAGTCATTATTATTAAGTTGATGCATAGAAAGAATTTTAACATACTTACTTATCCACAGAGAGTTCTCAAGTTTGAACAAAAGAAAAACAGTGTATGCAACTACGGTAACAACAAAAATAATTTAAAACAATTAGTTCCCTTTATGAGCATTATCTCAACTACACATTCATCAACTTGAAACCAATCTGGAAATCTTCATCACTCAGCCAGCTAGCATCGACAACAAAATTCAGTCGGATTTTCAATACAAACAACGTCAAGTCAGTCAGTTCTTAAATACGGATCGGATGAGAAACTTGGCGGGCGGGCGGGTCACAAAGAATATTTCCAACAGCCTGTTGCAGACGTTACCTTTATAAACCAACAACTGTGTTCGCTGGATCTATACTGAGGATCAGATGGCCGGGTCGTGCCGAAAAGAATCACCAACAAGAAACTCTGACTGGAACAAACAAACAAAACAAGAACCAATCGCCGCCCAACAAATATGCAGGAGAAAGTGGATGGAGATGGATTGGACACTCGTGGCTGAGGAGGCATCGCGCTGGGTCACATCGCTCGCGCATCAGGCCATCGCTCGAGTGGAACCTGGTCGAAAGGGAAGCGACGAGTGGGACGTCAGTGCAAGGGTGACATGGAGGAGATCGTGTGAAGAGGGGAGGAGTTGAAACAGTCACTATGGACTAACATGGATGGAGGTGAAAGTACAGCAGGAGGAAGATAGAAATGGCAAGTGTAGACGTGCAGTTGAAGCGCTATATTCCACCAGGAAACCAAGGGAACAATAATAATAATAACAATAAAAGTTCCCTTTATGAATTTAGACAAAGCAATCAGATGTAATTTATCTGAATCGTGTTATGTTGAATTTGCGCAACACATTTCGAACAATCTAATCCACACACGGACTTGGGTCAAGTAAAGAGGACATATTGAAGGTCAAAATAACAATGAAGACCACTAAACCAAATAGCAGAGGTAATAGTACATCTGCTATGGTATCAAAACAAAATTTACCGAGGAACATGGTTTTAGTGTGATGACGAATTGTCTGGGTGGTTTAAACTTTCTAACTTTCCACTTATTGTAGGAAACGCCCCAAACACGTTTTACAGATAGGCTTCAAAGATGTGTTAACATCAATTTTATGTCCTGTCGTTATGATATATTTGCAATACGTTTCGTCTGTTCTTAGCATTAATGGGTTTCTGGGATTCTATTTACTTCTGGAGCCATTTAGGAATATGCTCTGAAGTTATCCCTTACTTGCATAGATCGATGAGTCCTCCCTAGGTATGTATGTCCACACGTACATTCCAATTGGTAAATACAGTGGGATGTGACATCATTTTTCGTATGTTCAGAGGGCTTAGACAGATATATTGGCTTAATATTCTCTACTACTATGATATTAACTGCATAAAACGTCTTTTTAACCACAGCAGCGTTCAGTCTTTGTCTAGTTATCAAGCTGCTATGATGCCCCTATATAGGGTAGCTAGATATACACGTCTTTCTTAGGAGCGAGCATATTCCTAAATGGCTCCAAAAACAAATGTAATCTTCAGAACCCATTAATGGTGAGAACGGGAGACCTAGCTCTTCTATTGCGAAACACATTATAGAGACAGGACATAAAATTGACGTTAACAGGTTTTTAAAACCTTTCTATAGAACGTGTAATATTACCTTCGCTATTTGGTTGAGTGGTCTTCATTGTTATTGTGGCCTTCAATATGTCCTTTAACTTGAACTAAATGGTCTATTTTCTCACCTCTTAACTCCTTAATAATTTCACACATGTATTTCTATGACAAGTCAGTGTGTGATCAGATTGTTCGAAATGTGTTGCACAAATAAGCACATTACACGATTCAGACAAATTACGTCTTCTTATTGCTTTATAATAATAATAATCATACAGAATGTAAATTTTTAGAGTTACGTAATCAAATGAAACAGAGAAGATGAGGAAATCCCGTTATCGACCAGGGTAAGGGAAGACTGATAACCCTTTCTTTCTGAACACACACATAAGTTGGGTTTCAGGGGCATCATGGAGACTGCTTCGGTTAACTTGAAGAGAATTGAGCTTTTATGTCTCTTGAGAACTTTTAAGGAGTTTTCAATGTCCACCTCATCACCCATGTCGGCAAGATGTCTGGCAATAATTGTATTACTGAAAAAATTTATTCCCTTCAGATGCACTTTTGATACATGTCCAGAAAATTGAAGATGTTCCTTTTTTCACTGTTCTCCTAATGTAACTGCTCCAACAGATACATGTAAATTTATATACACAGAGTTAACACATAAAAAGTCTGTCAGTCGACTTTTGATTGCATCACACGAGGACCAACTTAGCTGCAGAATAGATTCTGGCTACTGATGCACTCAATCAATCTTCTAATGATTATTCTTCGAATATTATCACCTTTAAAATAGAGTTGAATGAATGAAGATAGGCCATTTTTCCCAATGTGATTTAATTGCTACTTGAACCTTTACACCTTTTGTACTTGTTAATGAACCTTTAAGGGTAACACTTTTGTTTTTCAACATCTGTTTTTAAGAATCAGAAATTCTGTTTGATTGGACACACACTAGTAACTAGTGTGATGTGTCTAGTTGTTGATGTTTGTTGCAGACTGAATTCTATCAGTCAGGTTGACAATGTGGCCATCATTCTAGGTAGCCTTGCTGACTGGTGAGTGCCAACTAGCACGAAACCTAGGTGCAGCCAAGGCTTCTATGGCCAATTGCCTGCAACCATCTTATGCTATCGAATCAACATTCACCGTGATAGTGAGCTACTTAAAATTGTGACCACATTGCAAACCTGACTGGTAGAATTCAGTCTACACCAAAAACAAAAGACTAGAAGCGGGGGTTCGAATCTCAGAGGAGACATAAGTTCCTTCAAGGTTGCAGATACGCCTAGCTGATGAATGCCAACTAGCACGGGACCTAGGTTCAAGGCTTTCTGTGGCCAATTTCCTCCAATCATCTAATATCATCGAATCAGAAATTCTTCCTCTAATTTGTGCGTGGAACAGATTCTTGTGACTCCTTAGAACAGATATAAGTAGGAAACCCGAGAAGATGAGTAATTTCAGAAAAAAGCTCAGCAATTGCACTACATGCATTAACACAAAACCGCACAATAGGATGGGAGAGGATTGAAATTCTAAGAAGTAATCTGTGTAGGTGGAGAAACAGATTGATTACTGAATCCTTCCTGGTTCATTGAGTCTACACTCAACACAACTCATGCAATAGAAGTGACTCAATGCAAATACCAGAGATGTGGAAGAGGTAATTAATAAACTCGTGGAGAAATCTAAAAGCTCACTTCAATTAGAATTGAAGTATGCGCTGAAGATGTCGCCTAGTAGGGGGGGGGCAATGAAAGGTTGGCAAATTAACTATCCAGCTAGCTCAGAGAACACAACCACATCAAAATTTTCAAGTGTTGGTCTTGTAGGGATTTGGATCGGGTCCCAGTGGCTCAATGGTCTACGAGCTCTCCTTGTAACCAGAAGGTCCTGGGTTCGAACCCCGGTGGGTGCATACTGATGAGGAGTCCCAAACTAGGACGAAACAGCTGTCCAGTACTCCCAGGTTTTCCAGTGGTTCTCTAACTGATGTCAGCTCATTATTAAATCCTTCATACACATCGAAATTATCCACCTGAACTACAAATCTTCACTATCATATTCTAACAAATCGCTTATTATTACTAAATAAACACTCGACTGTAATCGATCAATAACAATCATATTATTACCAATAGTCAAATCAGAGGAGAATAACAAATAATCTTCAAATCCTCTACAACAGAGTTTTGACCAGTACTGGTTTATAGCTAGCTGTTTGCACAATAACGACTTTCTATGAATTGACTACCGGGGACTACAATCTTTCAGGTGTTGACAAAGCATCCACATCTCCATCAAGCACCGGAAACCCGATTTATATATGTGTTCAGAAAGAAAGGGTTCTCAGTCTTTCAGTTACCCCGGTTGATACTTGAATGTCTTCACCGCTTTTATTTCAATTGATTACGTAACACTGAAAATTTGCATTCTGTATGATTATTATTATTATTGTTATTATTACCACTGTATGCACGTATTGGTTTCTTGTTTAAACTTGAAATCTTTCAAGGGTAAGTATGTTAGAACTGTTTGTGTGTACATCAACTTAATAATGATTTCTTTTAGACTGTAAGCAGTTGATGAGAAGCCAAGAAAACAAATAATGAAAGCACCATCGTGTTTTGCACAAACCACTGTGTCATTTCTTGCTTTAATTATAGACATTTTCAATTATACATGAATAATCTGTAAAATACAAATAACCATAGAAACGGAGACAAGCAAAACAAAGAGGGTGAGTGGCAAATCAACATGCAACTTTTGAGCAGATATATATATATATCAAGGTTACATAATGGACATTTCATCAATTTTACAAAATAATAATAAATAATAATTTTTCCTTCACGTTCCCAGTGGAACATAGGGCTTCAAGCTAGTGGCTTGAAGTTTCTGTGGCAGTGTTTAATTTTACAGGATGGGGTTGCTAGCCTCATGACCAACACTTCTTTATTACCAACATTATTTCTGGTTTAGCCAGGTAAAGGAGTGCGTCTGTAGCCAAGGATCGAACCCCGGACCATGTGGATGGTCGGCGAGCGTCCTAACCGCTATACCACCGACGCACAATTTTACAAAATAGTTGATAATTATTTCATTGAAAGAGGGAATGATTTAGTTTGCTTCAGACTAACACCATTATGTCGTTTCAAGTTTTGATAAGAAATTGATAATATCAGTTAGAGAAATATCCATTGAAAACCAGGAAGCATTGGTTG